CACTCTGAGCAAACCACACTAATTTTTTGCCTACAACACTTACAGCAAAGCTTGGGGTACTGTTAAACACCTGAATCCTCCCCTAAAACCCTTGCTTTTCATTAATTAATGACTACTTTCATCCACACTATTCTCACTGAGAAACTTGCCATATTTCTGTACACTGTCCTTTCTTTGGTGTTCTGATTTGTTCCTTCCAAAAGCATAAAGTATTCAATTTTCTAGATCTAAAACATTTCTTACTTAAATTACAGGCTCTCTTCTTTGAAAAAAAAAGAATGCATGACTTCTCTTTGTTTGGCTTTGTTGTGAGGGAAGGAATGGTCTGGCTGCAGAGCTGGTTTTTTTCAGAGAGCACTGGATGGGTATATCAGTCAGATTTTTGCTTTTCCTTCTTTGAAGGAAAGATAAAACTAGCTAATGAGTTGCAGAGTTTCTCTAGGCAATGGCCTCTCTATGCTTGTTGTTAAAGCCAGCATATGCAGTATTATCCTCTAACCTTATTATGGAAAAATATTTTTATGTCCTTTCCTCAGAGACATTACACATATCTTTGCAGTGAGGAGAAACAGTTTAGCTAAATTTGGAATTTTTCTAAACAAAGAGACTATCAGAGTCTCTTCTCAAGAGAACCCATGAGGATTTATTCCCTGATTTATTCCCAATATATAATGTCCCAACTGAATGCAGCCACACAGTTGGTATACCATTGGGCTGGAGAAAATCTTGAACTTACAAGACTTAGCACCAATACACCAATGGTATTTCAGTGTGGAGAGAAGAAACAGCCATCTGACTGAAAATAAACCCAACAGTGAATAGAGGTAGGAAAGCTCATCATGATGAAGACAGTAAGTGAAGGAAACTCTACTCACCATTCCAGGATTGTTCTAAACACTAATGAAAGCAGCTGCACTGAAATACAGAATGGCACCTGAATATTCCACCTGAAACTGAAAAATACCAGGCTATGGGCTGATAACAGGATCAGTTGAAAGAAACACTGGGGTAGGAGACAACTCTTGTTATGCAGACAAGGCAGGACTTGCATCTGAGCTCTGGAAAGCAGAGGGAACTGAGCAGTAGGCTGTGCAGTCAAGTAGATGGCCAAGAAAAATGGAAAGGAACTGAAAACCAGAAAGGATAAAAATAATCCTTCTAAGAAAGTTACTCATCTCCTAGTCAGGATGGAAAGGCTACTAAGGAATGGGTTTGGAAACAGTGGCAGCATAAATCAAACATAAGTCTGGTGTATGTGTAACAAAGGTACACAGATATTCTACTGTGACTTGGCTATGAATTGAACAGATAAGAAAAGTGCAATCAGAAGTTTTTGAGAGATTTACAAAGTAGCTCTCTGTTTAAAGTGTTCATATGGGCGAAGGAAAGGTGGAGGGTATTTGGAAATGGAGGCAAGTTGTTTATAACACAAGCATTAAAGATAGTATGCCTTTGTTTTGTTGGCACTCAAAAAAGATATCTGAATAACCTGTCATCTCCACCAGCTGTTCCAGCAAACTCACTCCTCTTTCCCAAGGAAGCTGTGTGTGATTGGTCTCAGAAGGAACTGCTGAGTCCCAGTGCCACAGCTAACACAGAGCTGCTGTCTGGTCTCCTTCTCTGTCACAGTCAGCATTGTCACTTAATTTAGATTGCAGCTGACATGGCTCGTGCTTTCAGCTCTGGGAATCCTGTCTGGCCCTTTGAACTGGACTCCCTGGATAAATACACTTACAGGATTTTGTGTCAAGGGATCTTCTAGTTCAGTCTCAAGAGGTCAGCACATCTTCAGTTTGGTTGATTTCTCTGAAGTGAACACAACAGTGAAGAAAAATCCCCCCCAGCCCCTAGGCTGGTTAATACCTGAGGTGCTGAGGCTTTCAGCCTGACACAGCAGCTTGGCAGCAGAGAAAGGACTTTGTGTCCTTGATGTGTCTGTTTTGTGGTACCATCAGACCCAGCAGAGCTCACCACTCAGTGTGCATTCCCACAGGCACAGCTCAGCACCCTGATTTTAAGTTCTAAAGCAGCACATATCCCTAGCAGGAAAGAGAGAAAAAAAAACCCCAAAAGTGAAAGAAATAAATTCAGAGTCTTAATAAAACAATCAGAAGTATAACAGAAAAAATAATGAAACATTGGAAATTATTTATGGCTGCAATGGATCACTCTCTATGTCTTCACAGGAAGAAAATACCCAAATTACCTCAGCTTTCATAGTTATAGTCCCATTGACTGCAGATGAGGAACTTTGAAATGTATGTTTAAGACTGGGAATGGTTATAAAAGATCAGAGGCTTTCAAAACTCACTGTGTACCAGGTCTAGTGAGTGCAATGCCAAGAGCAATATATGAAATCTGATCTGACAGTTTCATAATTTTCCTTTGTTTGAGGAGATCCCCATGCAATGAAAATGTACAGCAATATGCCAGGACTAAGAATTGGTGGAAAGGACTCAGAGGTGAAGAGTCTAGGCAGTTTCTCACTGGCACAATATTAAAAAAAGTAAAAAAGGAAGAATTAAGTACAAGAAATCCCAGGGAGTATGGTTTAGATTAAAGGACAGTCTTTTCAACCAGGCTGCTGGAAGGGTGATGTAGCACTGTTCCTGCAGATGTTTGGAAAGTATTTCACAAACTCAGCTTTTGGAGAGGGCTTCTAAAGGCTGTTGCTCTTCTCTGTGCCACCTTCAATTTATCTTTAGATGAAAATAGAAAAAATAGAATTGAAACAACAGCTTCTTGTTAAATAGGAGGGATGTTTTTAAAGAAATACAGTAAAACATGAGATATTATGGTTCATATCCTGTAGATCTTGTATCCATAACAGGCTGGCACCCCTCCTTTTACCTACATACAATAAAAATGAAGTAAAAGCAAATCTGTCAAAACTCAGCAGGTTTATTGCAGTCCCTTGGTTCATACTCCCTGCACGTGAACAGTGCACAGAGCAATAAACTGCTCTACTGAAATCCTGGGAGTTCAGACCTGGTTGTGTGGTTTATCTTTAAAAGTCTGATTCAATATTATGCTCTGGCTATTGATTTTTAGCAGACAGTGAACCTGGCAGCTGTTCTTCAGCCCTTCTCAGATATATTCCAAGCTGGACCATGTTCCCTCAAACATTAAGCACACAAAAATGTTACTTAAGTAAGATTTCAAGTAAGGGATCTTGTGTTTGGGCCAAATTCTGGGCCAATACTCTAAAGTTTTGTTAATTAGTTTTGCAACTTTTTGTTCAATTCTGACTTTCAAGTGATGAGGAGCTTTGAGTGTTCTTCAAGTCAAAGAGCAAGAGCTCCATTTTCTCTCAAACAGAAACAAACCTGCTGAGTGGCGCCAGTTCAGCTCTGAAAATGCTCAGTGTTGCTGCTCCCCTGCCTGTTCCCCATTCCTGACTTCCTGCATTTTTGTGTCTCTTTCCTGATCATCTCTCAAAGACTCTCTCATTGTCTGGAAAAGGTGTTACCTCATGGCAATACCCAAGGAAACAGTTTCTCCTTTCCACATTTCACACTTGCAAGTGTAAGATGTGATGAGGGATGGCTCTTGTCCTAATGAAAGAGAGTGAAGGTTCCCTTGACTTCACCGGGGTCAAAACTTCACCCTCGGGGACCTGTTGGAGAAATGGGAAGGAATTTCCATTTTCACAGAGAATCTGCAACCCTTAATTGTGTTGGAACCTCAAATATTTTCTTCACGGGGCAAAGTTCGTCTCTTATTTCAGATGAATGTAGTGGCTGAGCATCATCTGCTGCTGGAAATTCTTTGGAAGTTCCTTAGAACGAAAGCAAGCATAAAAGAGAAGCAGGGTGGGAAAGGGTTGTTTGCTATTAAACACCAACACAAACCAAGCTGGGCTCTTTGTCTGTGCCCTTCCCCCTTTTTGTTCACACACTCCTCTGCACCCTCCAGACAGCCTCAGAATGCTAATTTTTCAAACCCCTTGGAGAATGAAAACTATTTTAGAAATCAACCAAAATATTGTTTTAAACCTTGTTTAATGATACTGGACCCACGTTACAAATAAAGTCCTGATCCTTTCCTTCTTAAAGTTCAAATATGTTATTTCCCATACCCTGTACAACCTGTCACTTTCAAATTCAAAGCAAATAATTGTAACCATTTCCAAAACAGGATGTTTATACAAACTGGGAGGAGGGATTTATGCAGACATGGTTTTAAATAAAAGTCTATTTGTCTCTTTTCACAGATATTTAGGATTTCTCTTCATATAGCAGCAGATGATATGGATGCCCAGAAAGAATTAGTGCAATGATACTGTACTGATAAAGATCTGATTGTGTTGCTCTTTGTTGGAGTTTCCACCACTTTCTGAACTTTAAGGTCTTCAATTATTCTGTTTTTTTCAAGGGTAAAATATGCATGTAACCCTCAGTTAGCACTAAGAACAATGTGCAAACCTTCACACATCAAAGATGCGACTACGTGCTTTTGTTTATCCTAATGGTTTGAGAGAAAATCTTAATAAATCAACATGAGATTCCTTTCTATTTTCCTTTTTTTTCTTTTTCTCTTTCTTACATTTTGTTGTCTTGATTAGATAAAAAATAATAGGGGGCTGTCAATCTGTTTTCTTTTCAGGACTTCTCTGTCTCTTTCCAAATTAGTTACAGCCTGCTTTTTGTAGCTTTACAGCCAGCCTGACCTAATTTAATTACCATGACTTGTGTGGCTTAAAGATAAATAGTTTTATTCAGCCTGCCTACTTTTGTCAAAGTTTTCCCTTTCACACATCTCTCTATATTTTGGCATTCAGAACTCTTGTCCTCTGTTCTTGGGTAGGTTAACACAAGGTTGGTTTCTGGCATTGTCCTTATTCTGACAAAAAGGCCTTTGATGCCTTTAGTCCCTGCTCTGCTCTGAGTCTGGGGCCTTTGTGAACATTCACTGGGGCTCAGGAGCATGGGATGGAAAATACTTCCATAGGAAGTAGGAATTTTCCATAGGAAAATAGCCCTGTGTCCATCACCACAGAGAAATCCTCAGAGCTTGTTCCTATACTGCCACCGTCCAAGATTTTTTCTTTTTTCCAAGATTTTAGGAAAATACTTCAGAAATCAAAGCCTGAGACTTCTCTACAGGTGATGATGAACTGACACAAGTGGCTAGAAGATCTCCAGTAACATAACTCTGTAGCATGAAAATGCCTTCAAGGTGTCTGAGAACATGAATGCTTTACACAGAGAGGTCCCTGATGCACAAATCCCTGAAGTTCATGCCAAGACCACTGACAAATCCTTCTACCACCCTGTTGGACACCATTAAATACAGAAAGCAAGCAACCAGCTTATAAACTCTGAAATCCTACTTTAAAAAAAGGGATCATCATGTTCCTTCCTCTCTGTTAAAATGGAGAAAGATTGGCCAGAAAACCCAGAGTGATGCTAAATGGTTTTTAAAACATCTGATTCTGGTTCTGCTGCATTCCTGTAATCACAACTTTTTTTTTTCTTTTTTTTAATCTCACTATAACACTGAGATGGATGTACAAGGACTACCTCCATATAAATATGTCATGTTTTGGCTATGAATACCAAATACATTTTATTGCAGTTCTTCATACAAATGTAAACACAGAATTTTAAGTTACATTTCTTGGGTCATCTGTGCGCTGTCTTAATGCTGCTTAGAAGAGCCTCAAGCCCCTTTCTTAAAAGGCCTCTCCTTGGGTTTAAACAGAGTATATTTGAGGTCCTTAGCAAAGGAAATTGCCAGCACTAATTCTGACCTACCACAGGTTTTAACAAGAACAAACTGTGAAACTTAAAAGGAATCCCAACAAATGTGTTTTATGAATACACATGCAAAATTTCTGTTACAATCAAATAAAATGCTAATACGTGCCAGACACCTTGAAGTTGCTCTCCTGTGTCTAATTCTCCTGAGCTGAATTTAAATTATTCTCCCAGTACTTTGCCTCTTCTCACCCTTGTTATGAAACCAACAAAAGCAATTTATACCAATCACACCATAAGCAAACAGTAAAATAAAAACACTTTCAAGCCTTTCCTTCACCCTATTGGACATCTTTACCTAAAATCACAATAATGTTCTATTAAATAAAATTACATGCATAGAATTTTATTTCAATATATAAAATGTTTTGTTTTCACATACCATATTCAAATGCCTTGTTTCAGTATTGTTGGTCTGTTTATCTGATGGCAATATTCCACAGAACTAACATGAAACTAACCTGAATAGCTGTAAGGCTCCCAGGAAGCTGATTTGCAGGACAGATTATTACATTTCTGTAAGTGCAGAAAAAAAACCCAAATCCAAACCTTTCATATAAGCTTTTCAAGAAATATTGCAATCCTCAACAGTTAACACATTTTGAGAAAATTCAAATCTGGAGAGCCTGAGGATGTATTTCTCATACAAACAGGTTCACCTGCAAAGCAGTAATTCTGAGAAATCCAGCTGGAGACATCAGAGTGGTTCAACCAGGCTTTCCCATCGTCCTTTTAATGTCTAATGATACTTACTTGGAACTTTTCCTTGACTGAGCTGGTGTAAAACTCATGAGTACAAAGAGACCAGGGCCAGACAGTTGAGGCAGCTGCTTTCCTTGCCTTTAATTAACCCCACCTGCTTCCTGTGGGCCATTGCCTGGATGGAAGGAAGAGATGAGCCACAAGAGACAGGGAAGCCCTTCCTGAAGGGCTCAGGCTCAGTTTACCATGGTAACTTACACCCACAGTCTGATAATAATAAAAAATTAGCACACTGTATAATAAAGAAGGCACCAGCAGTGGGTAAGAATAGCAGAAACAGACACACATAAAATAGGATAGGAAATTTGTGTGGGATGTGGAATCTGTGCTGAAGGACTCAAATGAGAGTACCTGGGCTCCTTGAGAAGTTCTTCTGAAAAAGGCAGAATGCTCCTGGCAACAGTGACTGGTCACTTCTGCTTTTCTTTCTAGGAAGGTGTAAATCTGCTTCCTTTATGTGCCAGAGTATTTTGATTTTAAATGCCTCACAAAAGGACACCAGTATGAAAGTACAATGGTCCTTGACCTCATTTGGTGTCTATAGGTAGTTTCATATTGCCTAAAAGTAATAAAAGAGCAAGCACAGATTAATTTTAGAAAATATCATTCCCTATTAACATATTTATCTTTGTTAGGCCCTGTACAAAAATTATGTCATAATGAGATATGCCATGAGGAAAAAAAAAGCACAGATCAATTCACTGGTCTGAACGTGGACCAAACACCAACTGCACTTGGCAGAAGCACACATCTGGTCATTACTGCAGCCAGATTCCAGGGAACAAAGGACAAAACATGGCACAGATTCCACTGCTCTCATCATGCACAGAAAACAGCTGATATTTTGAGGTTCTGAGGTTACAACATGTGGCTCTTCTAAAGAGCAGACTGCAACCTTGAGGGGCTTGTTTTGTTTTCCAACTGAAATCTGACATGCATTACATGTGAACATTTGGAAGTCGTATTGTTCATCATGCATTACATATAATTGCTTGAACTTTTACAGTGTGCAGTCATTAAACTGCCTTCCACAATAATGGAGCACTTCAGAGATCCCTCAGCCACATGTGACCCAGTAAAGAGGAGGAAGGATCTAACTCTGCAAGCACTTTGTCCTTCAGCAGAGATGCACCAGTGCCCCCTTTACATCAGGGTGATGCCTGCAGGGGATAGGAAGCAGGCCACCCGTGATCTACAGAAGGACTGCCCTGAAACTCAGGTTGTATCAGCTGGGATTCTGGCATTCTTTCCAGGTGCAACAAAGGAATAGAAGG